CCCAGTTTTTTTATCCATAATTTAGGACTCTTCCTCTGTGTTACTTTCTAAGGTATCCCTCATGGTCTAATTATTATAGTTACTCCAAACTTTGTGGTCTAATTCTTCAAACCTGTAAGATTGAACATTCCCATTGGGGTGGTTTTTTTTTTTAATCTATCATTGAAAAATACCAACTACTGCCTCTTCTTAGCCAAAACAAAAATAAAAACCTGTAAAAATATGAAATCCCACCCAATATCAGTTTCTGCTTTCTAGTGTTAACTTGTGTTTTCTGTCTGTTTTTTTTTTTAACTTCTGTTTTCATTCTCTGTTGTCTTGATATTTTGTTTGGAATATATAGTTATTATTCTATGGAAGGGTTGACCTGATAGGATCTATCCTGACCTTCCTGAAAGCAGAACCTCCTAGTCATGTCCTAACCTTGCATTTAGAAACCTCCTAATCTATTTTTCCATTCTTGTTTTCTATTGTTATTCTGTATATAGCCATATTTCAACAAATATCTATTTTTTTATCCTGAGAACATTTTATATATTCTTTATATCTTGTTCACATTGCTCCACTCATAATAGTCCTAATTTTCTTCTACTACAATCTTTACGTTTTTCAGCATGAGAGTTTTTTCTCAGCATGAGAGTTATCTACTTTTTCCATAAAACTTTCCTAATCAGCTCAGCCTATCCTGACCTCATGGGTCTTTACACACACACACACACACACACACACAAACACACACATTTTAGTTGTCAATGGACTTTTTAAAAAATTTATTTATATTGAATGCTGAGAATTGAACTCAGTGCCTCAAACATACTAGGCAAGCGCTCTACCACTGAGCTACAACCCCACCCCAGGGCTTTATTATATATTCCACTCACTGGACATTGAATTTAATGCTGCCTTATGATTCCATCTTTTTAACCATTTATTTTTTAATTGTAGGTGGACACAATAGCTTTATTTTATTTTTATGTGGTGCTGGTGAATGAATCCAGTACCCCACACATGGTAGGCAAGCGCTCAACCCCAGCCCCATGATTCCATTTTTATTGTAGTCACTCCACTGAAAATATGGCTTGTAGCTTTTCTGTCTATCCAGATGGCACTCTCCTTAAGGCTAGGAACTTTATATTGTTATTTTGTTTCTCTGTTACAAGCTGTAACTCCATCTTTTGTTTAGGAAACATTCTTTTTAGTGAAGTTTCCCATGAATGAATGAGACACTCCAATATTAATATTCCCAGGAAGTGTTTAGAATGTGATCTGACATGTAGTTAAAAGTAATGAACTTTATCTGTTTTTATTATAGCTGAAATTAGAGTAGTATGAATAGTTAATCCCTAAATATTCTTATCACTCCACCCCTTACTGATTATCACTCCACCCCTTACTAATTATTATTATTATTATTTCTGAATCTTAGAAGTGGGATATATTTAAGATTATCTGATAAAATTCCTTAATGTTACAGATTTGGGAAGGAGACCGGGAGAAGTCCTGTATTCTTGAGAACTTCTCACTGCCTTTTCTTGGTGTCCAAGCCCAGTTTGCTCCTAAGTGTGTGGTAGGAAAGTCCATATGTGTTCAGGTAGACTGAACAGATTCAAGGCTCTCTATTTCATTTGACAGGAACAGTGTTTCTCAACCAGAAGATACTCTTGCCCAGGGAACATCTTGCAATATCTGGAAACTTTTGGGAGTCGGTGGGAGTTGTTGATTTTGATTTGTTTTTCATTGCTGGGGATCAAACCAAGAACCTCATGAGTGCTAGGCAGGCATTCTGCCACTAAGCTTCACTACCAGCCTTGGATATATTTTTTTGATTGTCATGCTTGGGAGACATTTTAGCTTCCAGTTGGTAGAGGCTAGAATACTACTGAGCATCATATAGTGCACAGAATAGCCCTACCATAAAGAATTATTTGATCTTAAATATCTACAGTGCGAAAGACTGAGTGAAACCCTGTGTTATAAGTAGGTAGCTCTCTGCCTTTGTTTGTTTGTTTGTTTGTTTTTTGGTACTAGAGGTCCAACCTAGGGCCTCACACATGCTTGACAAGCTCTCTACCTTTGAGCTACATCCCCTGCCCTTTTTTTTTAAATATTTTTAAGTTGTTGATAGACTTTTCTTCCTTCCTTCCTTCCTTCCTTCCTTCCTTCCTTCCTTTCTTTCTCTATTTATTTATTTATTTATACATGGTGCTGAGAATTGAACCCAGTGCCTCACATATGCCAGACAAGTGTGCTACTGCTGAGCTACAGCTCAGGCCTCCTGCCCTTTTTTATTTTATTTTGAGACAAGGTCTTGCTAAGTTGCCCAGGCTGCCCTCAGATTCACAATTCTTCTGCTTCAACTTCCTGAGTAGCTGGCATTGAAGGTATGCACCACCACATCATTCTGCTTTCTACTTTTTTTTTTTTAACCTTCATTAAAAGAGACTCATCTATTTTCTTGGTATATTATACCATTTTGCATTACTGTAATGAAATACCTGAGGCTGGATATTTATAGAGAAAAGAGGCTTATTTTGACTTACATTTCTAGAGGTCCAAGGTCAGGGGACTGCAACTGGTGATGGTCTTCTTGCTGGCAAAGTCCTGAACTGATACAGATTATCACATGGCAAGAGGTAGAGAGTGCATGCCCATGTGTCCTGGTCTCCCTCCCTCTTCTTATAAAACTACCAAAATCAATCATGGGGACTGCAATCTGATGGATTTATCTAATCCCAATTACCTCCCAAAGACTCCACTTTTAAGCATCATAGATGGATTAAATTTCTACCCTCCTAATGCCTTCTAAGGGGATTAAGTTTCAACACATGAACCCTTGGAGGATATACTCAAACCATATCTAAACCAAGGTGCTGGTTGTGCCAGAAAGGTTTTTATGTCAGATTTATTCTTTATTTGGCATTTCTTCTCTTTATTTCTATTTTCCTTTTTTTTGAGAATAAAATTTAAATCATTAAAATATGAAGGAAAAACAAATTTTACAAACTGATTTCCTCATGCACACACATTTTAAAAGCATTTGGGATAAACTATAAAAGTTGGAAAGTTGTTAGGCAAGTTAACAGAGGCTTGTCCACCCTGAGTAGCCTCACAACCAGCTCTTGTTTCTGAGGGAGGGACAGATTGGCAGCCCTCATTCTGCCATTCTTCATGGCTGCTTGGTTCTGCCACATGTCCCAGACTAAAAGTGGATAATGATGACCGCTGCTGATTTTTGAACATTGTCAAGAACAAAGACGTGGGGAAAGGTCATTTGAGTTCCTCTAGCAAGAGATACCAGAGCTATGATCCAGTTTCCAAAGTTGCCTGAGGGAAAGTACAGATACCCCAGGCTAAATTTTAGAAGAAAATCCCAGACGCATAGGCTTCTTTTTTTAAAATATTTTTTTTTTGGTGTTGTTGTTGATGGACCTTTATTTTATTTATCTAGTTATATGTGGTGCTGAGAATCAAACCCAGTGCCTCACATATGCTAGGCTAGTGCTCTGCCACTGAGCCACAACTCCAGCCCATAGACTTCTTTTTCATGAGCTTGCATTTCATATTTTTCTTTCCCCTCACTACCTCTGTTGCCCTCTCTCAGTGGCAGTCACATGATGACATCTTGCTCCAGAAGCCATTTTAATACTTACTTAATGTTTAACTCTAAAAGAAATTCTTACCTGAACGACAGTTCAAGGTCAACAGTTGTCTTTAACACTAATTCCTGTGTGACTTAGGTGCTTACACAAGTGAAGAAAAGCGGCCAACTTAAATATTATTTATATCTAGTCTGTCTTGCCATTCTTTTTAGCAAGAAAAGATAAAGGAGTAATTGACCCTACTTTAACTTCTGCATGTATTTATGGTGTGTTTAAGATTTCTCTTAGATCAGTAAAAAAAAAAAATGTAGTATTTCTAATTTTTTTCCTCAAATCAGATTTCTAAGACTTTTAAACATTTCTCTTAGTTAGACCTAGTAATAATTTTCTGTATGCATTTTCAGATGCAAGAAATAATTGCTTTGCACAGTACATTTCCCCTGAACACCACATCGAACGGACATAGTATGCCTTGAAATCTAACTCCCTGAGAGGAGAGCACATGTTCTGTAGGGCATTTAGCTCATAGGTGCTCAGAACCTGCACAAGGACCAGTGGCACTCTGAAAGAAGAGAATTTGAATCTTTTAAATGGCCTTGATTGATTTGGATAAGTAAATAGCTGAAAACAAAATGAATTTTAATTGACATGAATATAGACTCACTAAGTCAATGAGAATCTATAAAGACACAAGTCAGGACTTAGTCCAAGAAGGGCAAATACCTATGTATCTGGGTTACAGTTAAATATGGGGTAACTTTTTAAAAAAGTTACCATGACACTGTGGCTACCATTGCTATGGATAGGTAGCTTTCATTGAGTACTTGCTTTGGGCCAACATTGATCCAGGCCCTTTACATCACCCATTTATCCAGGAGATGCAAATGGAATCATTGGAAAAATATAAGATCTTCTCTAATCCCCCAGTTCAACTGGCATAATAGAGTCTGTAGCACAACAGGGGGCCCCATCCCCCCAATCAGGTGTCAGACTCATAGCAGTTCTACCTGTTTTCATCTCATGTAAAATTCCAGCCTACATATTTTCTGAGCCTTGAGGGAACAGGAGCTGTTTCTTAGAATATAAATAGATTCTTAATAATGTTACAAATACAGTGGGTAGAGGACATATTTGAAGCAATAACACTTAAATTCTACTTGTTTTTAGAATTGTTTTAATAATTCTTATCTAAGTCCTATACATACGCATAGAGAGAAGTTCTAAATTTTCTGCTTTTTTGGTAGAAAAAATTAATATCACTTCAATATAAAGCTTCCTAATTTGAACATATATGTTGAATTGGAAGAACTGGAATTGTCTTTAGACCATTGAGATGAAGTTGTTGAACATTATCATAAGGTTCATGTATAGAAGTAACAGAATTACTTTCCTGATTTTTAGATGTGTGGTTTTTAACAACAGAGGAGTAGCAGGAGAGAATCTCTTGGTAAGTAAATTTAAATGATGTCTTAATTTTTTAAATGATCATTTATAGATTTATGGTGAAAAGCATGTTATTTTATATTTAAAACATTTTTTTTGCTTAAATAGTATAAGTGCATAGTAGAAAAATACAGGTAAGAAACAAACAAACAAAAAAGGGAAATTTACAAGACCCAAGACCCATAATTATCCAGCCAGAAAAATCTTCTTGGTCTGTGTTCATTCGGATCATATATATGTATATACATATGTAATCTATTTATGTTTTTGTAAATAAATTTCTATTTTTTTATAATTCCATTTTATTTATTTTTATGTGGTGCTGAGGATCGAACCCACTGCCTCACACATAGTAGGCAAGTGCTCTACCACTGAGCCACAACCCCAGCCCCAAATTTGTATTTTTTAAAATTTTTATTTATTCAGTTATTTTGTGGTACTTGGTATTGAACTCCGGGGCACTCTACCACTCCCTATCCCTTCTTTTTTGTTGTTGTTGGTTTTGGTTTTTTGTTTTGAGACAGTCTTGCTAAATTGACCAGGCTGGCCTTGAATTTGTCATCCTCCTGCCTTAGCCTCCGGAGGAGCTGGGCTTACAAGCTGCACCTCCTCATCCAGCTTGAAATTCTATTTTTATAACAACTTTGTATTTACTATATTCTAAGATCAGTGATATTTATCTACATCATTTTTTAAAGTTTTTTTTTAAAAGAGAGAGATGAGAGAGAGAGAAAGAGAGTTTTAATATATTTTAGTTCTCGGCGGACACATCTTTTTTTTTTTTTTTTTGTATGTGGAGCTGAGGATCGAACCCGGGCCGCACGCATGCCAGGCGAGCGTGCTACCACTTGAGCCACATCCCCAGCCCTATCTACATCATTTTTAATGCAAACATATTCTTCAAAAAAATAAACCAGTACAGGCTGGGCATGGTGGTCCATGCATGCAATACAGCAATTTGGAGAGGTTGAAGTCAGGAGAATCACAAGTTCAAGGCCAGCCTCAGCAACTTAGTGAGGCTTTGTCTGAGAATAATAAATTATAAGGGCTGAGGATGTAGCTCAGCTAAGTGCTCAAATCCCTGGTACTGAAAACCAAAAAAATAAAAATCCCAGTGCCGGCTAGGGTTATTGCTCAGTGGTAGAATGCTCACCTAGCACATATGAAGTCCTGAGTTAGATTCCCAGCACCACAAAAACAAATAACCAGTACAAAACAAATTTACTAGTACAGTGATACTTTTTTTCCACTAATGAAAAAGATTATTTTTGTCATGAAAGAGATTGATTATATGTATATGCCTATTTGCCATCCATACTTTTTTCTTAGAGACCACATTATTTAAACTTTTTTATTTAAATCAGGTCTTTCCCCCCTCTAACTCCTAGTTTTTTCCAGGATAGGTTTTCTCCCACCTCTTAGGAAATCATCACTCTAGCTAGGTGTGTTGGTGCACTCCTATAAGGTGGCACACATCTGCAATTCTAGCAGCTTGGGAGGCTGAGGCAGGAGGATCATAAGTTATAGATCAGCCTCAGTAACTTAGCAAGGCCTAAGCAACTCAGTGAGACCCTGACTCAAAATAGAAAACAAACAAACAAAAAAAATGGTTGGGGTTATAGCTCAGTGGTAAAGCACCCCTGGGTTAAATCTTCAGTGCCTGCCCCCGCCAACAACAACAACAACAAAAAAAGATAGGAAGAAAGAAAGAGGGCTGGAGTTGTGGCTCAGCAGTAGAATGCTCGCCTAGCACCTGAGAGGCCCTGGTTCGATCCTCGGCACCACATAAAAATAAATAAACAAAATAAAGGTGTTGTGTCTAACTAAAAAAAATAAAATAAATATTTAAAAAGAAAGAAAGAAAGAAAATCACCACGCTATCTAATGTTTAACCTGTGCATTACACTTGCTGAACTTTTGTTACAGCTTTTTGTCCTTTAGTTCCTTACTACTTCAGCAGGTCAAAGGTAACTCTATCAGAATTGAAAGAGTTTTGCGTCATTGATACAGAATGATATTAAGACTATAAATAATTTAGTCATGCTGGACATAAAAATTTATAGTCGTGTTACAAATGTCAGCACTTTATGAGAACCTGGAAAGAAAGAGCTCTTATACTTCGCTTTACAGTGACTTAGGCCCTGGAGGAAAATGAGATCAATATGATTCAAAAGCAAAAGATGTAAAGCATTTCTGGTCTTATTCAGTGCCTCCTAATTAATAGTTTGATGTCAAACTTCACATTTCCTCACTTAGTCCAGCTCTTTAGGAATCTTGTAGACACAGGCAGCATTCTAAAGGAAAAGATCTGAATTTGTCACTGTGGTCTTGGACCATGGAAATCATTTTGGGCAACTCCTGTCTGCTGTGTATTTTTATTTATATATTTGTTTGTTTGTTTTTGGTACTGAGGAGTGGTTGCAGAGATGTTTCACCCCTGGGCTACATCTCCAATCCTTTCTTAAAATAATTTTACTTAATTTATTATTATTATTATTATTATTATTATTATTATTATTTTAATGTGGTGCTGAGGCTCAAACTCAGTGCCTCAGACATACGAGGCAAGTGCTCCACCACTGAACTACAACCCCAGCCCCTCCAACCTTTTTATTTTTTGAGACAGGGTCTCACTAAGTTGCTTAGGGCCTCACTAAGTTGCTGAGGCTGGCCTTGGCTGTGCAATCTTCCTGTCTCAGCCCCCCTAGTTGCTGGGATTACAGGTGTGCACCACTGTGCCTGGCTTGCTATGTATTATTGTATGTGCTTGTGTAGGGGGAAGACGTGGTCTGAGACTCTCACAGAAATAATGTGCTACAAGCAGAGTCTATTAGGTCCATAAAGTAAGGTTATCTGTTCATTCAGCAAAACTATAGGGTATACCTATTAAATCAGGCACTCTGCAAAGCAGGCGGGTGAGTTGTATTCACATCGAGACATAACTCTAATCCTTAGGAGCCTACCCTTCAGTTGCAGGAGTCAAGTACACAAAATGTGTGTGATTCAATGCCAAGTGTAACTATAGGAAGATTTATTAAGACTACAGAACACAAAGGGAAGGTATAACCAACTGCCTGAAGAAAAAAAATGTCACATTTTGGATCAACTCCTTAACTTATAGCTGGATAATGATAATTTTATCTAATATTCACTGAGTCTTTAGAACGTATCAGTTATTTTTTTCGTCCTTAATATTCAGCAATAGAAGCATCTCAGTGATTTAGGTAAGTATAGCCATCATCATTCATATTTTCCAGGTGAAGAAAAAGAAAGTCAGGAAGGTTAAGAACTTGCCCAGCCAAGAACTGGTAGAGTCAGGACTCAGACCCACATGTACTTGGGTTCTTTTTTTTTTTTTTTCCAATATTGAAAAATCATTATTTATTTGACAGATAACTTCTGAATTCATATAAAGAAATGACAATAACTTGTGTATATATTCATTCAAAACATTTTAATTAAGCACCAAGTAGAACAGTTTCCGATCTTTTCACCAAAAATACTTTTATCATTGAAAGACTGCCTCGAACTTAGTTTATTTTAGGGTGTGTGTGTGTGCAGGGATACCAGGGATTGAACTCAGGGGCATTCAACCACTGAGCCACATCCCCAGTCCTCTTTTGTATTTTATTTAGAGACAGGGTCTCATTGAGTTGCTTAGCACCTGGCTTTTGCTGAGGCTGGCTTTGAACTCACAATCCTTCCTCAGCCTCCCGAGCCACTGGGATTACAGGTGTGTGCCATCAACACTGGGCATTTATTTAGATTTTTAATTAAGAAACTTAAAGCTGCCAATCAGAGCTTTTTACTCATAAGGGTTTTAACCTGATCATCTCATTTAAAAGTAAAAAATAACTTTTAAATTTGACCTATACAATCCAACCAAGGGGAGATATGCTGGCCTCAAGCTAGTCATCACAGGACGTAGGTCCACAAGCCAAGTATCATCCTCACAAACAAAATGAGTAATATGTATATACAAAAGGAGTACAAAATACATGTTCCTGTATATCCCAGGGGAGTAATGCCTATTTCCCATGAGCATACAATGCAGCAAGGGGCACAGAAAAAGGTACCATTCACTACCCCACAAGACAATGGAAGGAATAAAAGTCCTGTGCCCTGGAATAGAGTGGGCACTTTGTGGACCAGGTGACATCCAGACCACACCAGGAACATGAGTGGATATCAAGGCGCATGAGGAGGGATCTCCAGGGTTGGAAAGGACAAAATGAACCGAGACACAGCCACAGACATACTGACTATTGAGAAGACAGAGGAGTGTTTGTACTGGCCAAAGGGATATAATCTAAGAGTTGCATAAAACAGAAAAGAAAACCTCTTCTGACAAGAGGGCAAAATACCTTCCCCACAGAGGATCCCCATGTTCTCTGTGGAGGTGAAGGAGCCAAGGATCACTCTGTAGGTCACCCTCCACCCCAAGGCTCTAGGTTCTTGGAATCAAATCCATTGAGCAAGAACCTTCCTTCATGTAAACTGCCTTTTCTCCAAAAAGTAAAACAAAAACACAAGAAAACAAAATAAAACTCAAAAGAAAAAGAATCAGACCAAGCTTTGACCCCCTTGTCCATCACTTGTGTCCCAGCTGTCACGCTAGGGAGACTGGGTCTGCTCTGTTCTTCACACTGGTTCATTACTGCCAGGCCTCCAGCATGTTGTGCTCGTAATACAGCACACACCGCACAACACATACACTCACCCAAACAAAAGGCAGCATCAACTTAAGGATCTACTGTAATATTACTACGCTAACCTAGCATACTTTAAACCTTTTTTTTTCTGACATTATTTACAAAATATCTGCACTCTGTACTGCTATGGAAGCCTTACAAATGTTGCATTAGGGCTGGGGTCATGGCTCAGTGGTAGAGCGCTTGCCTAGCATGTGTGAGGTGCTGGGTTTGATCCTCAGCACCCCATAAAAATAAATAAATGAAATAAAGTTATTGTGTCTAACTACAACTAAAAAAAATATTAAGGAAA